CGATATGCAGTCGAGCTCGCACTACCAGACTGCTACAAACAAGTCCATCCAGTGTTCCACCATGGTTACTACACCTTGACGCCGATCAAACAGCTCGCCCAAGTGAGGGCGTCATCGCTGAGAAACACCCTGACGGAGAGCACGACTACTACGTAGACATGGTCGTCGACTGTCGCATAGATAAACGACGCAAGGACACCCTCACAAACAAGAAAGGCATGCTCCAGTATAAGGTTAAGTACACCAACTCCCCAGACTGGAATGCCTCGCCCGCATGGCAAGACTATACAGACCTGTGGGGCGCAGAGGAAGCGGTTGAAGACTTTCACCGTCTCTATCCCGACAAGCCCCCACCTCACGAACTGTATCGAGACCTAGCGTTGTATCTCAACCTAGTCGCCGCATATTCACTTGGTCGCGATGATGTTGAAGTTGTTAGCGTACTAGACAGTTGTGAGCTTGCCCTATCACCTTCGCATTCACTGATGGCACAGCTTGGACCTGGGAAGGTGGCACAACTCAGGACGTCTGTCTCCAAGCAGAAGCAAGGACCCGAAGGATGAGACACAACATAACTGCTCGGCATCAAGCACAGCGTCATAAAATAAAAGACATTCACGGCTTGCAGGTGCAACCGTCTTCTGAAAGGGGGGGGTAATGTTACGGATCCATAGACTCGCTCGGCCCATGGCCCCCATATCGATAAGATCCTTATCTTATCGGACTAGCGCCTTGGCGCCCACAGCATAAGTTCGGGCTCACAACGTAGATAGCTCGATAGCTTGTATCTTGTCAAATCCAATCTTTCTTGATCGATCCCTCACAATTGACGCCTGCTGAATATTCTCTTGCTTCTGCCTATTAAGCTAATTAAGAAGCCCTTCTCATCCATATTGTATATATCTTGAGCCTTAAGGTGGTATTTAGTGATCTTTTAATGCAGCAGCTCGAAGTAGAGTCTATACTTTAACTTAGAATTAGCTAGGTGGCGCGTACAATCCATGGCGCTGGTCTACTTTAAGATAAGATAGATCTCGTGTTGGTTGATAAAGCGAGTAACCTAGCTCTCGCTGAGCTGCTGATGGGCTACTTCTGATAAGAAATTCCTAATCATCTCTCTTATAGGAGGAAGGCCTCTCTCTGTAAGCGTTTTGATATATCTCACAAGCTCTAGCTCTTGTTGTGGGCTGATAGCTTGCTGCTGAGCGTATCCATTACTCCTAGGCCCTGTCACGCGCCTCCACCTCCGCGATAGAGTTGCGCGGCTGACACCCCATTTCCTCGCAAACTCTGCTAATACAATTTTTTCTCCGGGTTCTTGCGACTCTAAATCTGCAATCGCATCATCAATTGGAGCCATAGTTGTTGAGTTATAGCGCGTTGAAGTTATGACGCTGAGACGCGCGTTTGGTGTTCAGCGTGCACGAGATGAATCCGTGCACGAGGTGCACGGACACGTTATGGGTGTTTCTCGAAATACCTTGAGCCACCTGGATCTGGTTGGCTTGGTGGCCAAGAACATCAACTCCTATAGTAATTTGTTAGTAAATCGATGCAGCCACGCTTTCTAACACCCACAACGTATTTGAAGTTCATTGTTTGCTGCGATCGCCTCTACTGACTCGCGTTTTTGGTGTTGCAATTTTCTCGAGCCCATCTCATCGCGATGCCAGGCACCGGCCACCGCTTGCAGCCCGCTGTTCTCCAGGCTATCCTCGACCGAATTGCTGCCTGCGAAAGTGATCGAGCCATCTCTAGAGCTACAGGTGCGAGCCGTAACACAGTAGCAAAGCTGAGGTTGAGCTTAGAGTTTTGGGGCGTGCCTTATCCGCCGCGCTGCGTTCGACTTGGGCGGCCATCTATACTCCGGCAAGCTCAGCGCGAAGGCCTTCAGGCATACCTCAATGGCTCACCGGGCGCATACATGGATGAGATGAGGGACTTCTTGTACGACGAGTACGACGTTAGGATAAGCCTTGCGAGCGTTTACCGAGAGCTAGAGAAGATGAGATGGTCTCGCAAGCTTGCAACAAAGCGGGCAAAGGAGCAGAGTGAGCCACTCCGCCGCCTCTATCTTGCCAGGATGGCGCAACACTATAAGGCGGAGCAGATCGTTGCGTTGGACGAGAGCGCCTGCAATGAGCGTACGGGCGACCGCAAGTATGGCTGGTCTCCAATCGGGGAGCCGGTGGAGCTATCACACAGCTTCAGGCGATCAGAACGGTGGTCGCTGCTGCCAGCCATGACGATAGATGGCTACATAAGCTATAAGATCTTTCAAGGCGCGATTACATCTGAGATCCTAGAAGACTTCTTAGAGTTTCAAGTGCTGCCGTTCTGCAATCCTCACCCAGGGCCAGCCTCAGTAATCGTGCTTGATAACGCCTCCATCCATCGATCAGAGCGTGTACGGGTGCTTTGCCAAAGTGCTGGAGTACTCCTTGAGTATCTGCCGCCATACTCACCAGATTTCAACCCCATCGAGAAGAGCTTTAAGCAGCTCAAGGGGTGGATGAAAAGGAATTCAGCGCAAGCGGAGAACTTCATTGACTTTGGGGTCTTTCTTGAGTATGCAGCGCAGCTGGTGTGCTGTAATATTAACTGCAGAAGCTGGTTCCATAGGTGTGGCTATCCCTATTAATTGTGCTTTTAAATGGATGCCACAGTACGTTTCTATAGGTAGATGATACCATACAAATGCGAACGATTACACCTTAATGCGCAACCCACAAAAGCGATTTAATAATTCTAAAAAAATAAGAGCTATTTCTATACATATAGAACTATCTTAGGAAGTTAACCTGTTATAATCGCATAACGTTGTAGTGTTGTACATAGGGCTATCCAAATAGACTATTGTTGCAGCGCATTTGAAACGCCTGAAAAACCTCAACACTATAGCGGGCACGGGCCGCTGTCACCAAAAACGCTCAGGCCACTAAGCTTCAAGCATTCTCGCCATCATCCTCCACAACACTGCTAGACGGTTCAACCACCAATTTCTTGCGCGCAATCTCTTCTCTTTTCTTACAACGTTCGACTCGTCTCCAGTTACGATCTGTGAGACCCTGGTACCCAGCTTGCCATTCTTTTGCAGTGTTTTGTAGCGTGAAAAACCAGCCAGGAGGCTGCTTGAAATGCTGCGTCCACAACTTCAAGATATCACCAGATGGCTGCATCAAGAGGTTGATATCCATAGCTCCGTCAATAACAAGAGTCTTATAAAGCTCGTTAATGTCCTCTCCAACTGTAGGAAATTTTAACTTAAGGTAGTTAAAGAAATTACTAGTATGCTCGTTAATCTCCTGCTCATGATCATATCGGATAGGCGCCCACTGAGATGCACTAGATACCTCAGCTCTTGTTATCGTTGGTGCAGCTGCCTGCAAGTTAGACTCCTGTTGAGGTTGCCTGTTCATCCGCTCAAGCTGTCCAACGATGAGCAGTTTTGTTAAGCTTTTGATATCATCGTCGCCATCTCCAGCCGCCCGCAACTTGCGCGTTTTCTCATGCACCCGTAGGTCCTTTGCTCTCAAAATTGCAAGCCGTACATCATCAGATGGCTCATCGTACGTTGCCCTTCTCGCTGTAATTGCTCTTGCCCACATGGAGATAATGTTGCCGTTGACAAAGAGGTGATCTTCGAAGCGCGCTGGCTGCCTCGCTGTTGGCGCCATCCAGCAGCAATAAGGATAGTTCTCGCAATGGGTATCTGTACAGCGCCATCTATCCCGGATAGCAATAGCATGCCCGCTACCTGCTTGTTCAGCTGCTATTACACCAGCAAGCCCCTCCTCTTGAATCACCGTTGCGGTGCGTCGACGAGGGCCGTCGACAACCGTTGGCAACGGCTGCTGCTCCCCTGGAATTTCAGCCAAGATGAGCTCGAAATCGACGTTTACTGGCTCGCTGACATAGTTATCAACCTCTACAACAAGGCGCTGAAAGCTATTCCACGTTGCATCAACACCTCGCCGCAATCGCTTTATCGCGCGCTCGCGTTTGGCCTGCTTAGCTGGGTAAACAACAGTGCAAACAGATGAGATCTTCGCTCTTTTTGGCCGTAATTCTGCAACAACGTCATCTACCCACTGCCATAGGTCGTCGAAATGCAGCGAGTACAGCCGTACGCCGTGCTCGCTATCGGCAGCTTCAGGAATAAAGTGTTTCTCCATATCACCACCAAGGCAAGCCCTCCACCTAACGCGCAGTACAGGATTAACCTCATCCTCTAGCGCTTGCGATGAGCGAGGCAGCCATGGAGTGCCTTCTTGACGTCGGTACGCTGGCTCTCCCTCATCCTCAACACTACCGGCAGCGCCCTTAGCAGCGATCTCATCCTCAACACTACCGGCAGCGCCCTTAGCAGCGATCTCATCCTCATCCTCAGGCAGCGGATCGCCATCTCCATCCTCGAAAGTATCCTCATCCTCGCCAACGATATCTTCAGCTTGCGCGGAGGCAGCTGTTTGGGTGGCTTGCAGCTCAGGCTCGGACAACGGGCTTTGACGGCGCGGCGGGGCAGTCGCTGGAGGCGACGGCAGCGCCTCACGGCGGACACGTTTAGGCGTTAAATGGGTAGGATTTTGTCTAGTTGCTGGCGCTCTACGCTTCTGGGAGGACGGGTTAACGCCTTGATCGAATGGCTGCTTCGGCTTACGCTGGCGCTTGGGCGGCATCCCAACAGCAGCTAGATTGAGCTCGCAACAAGCTCCACACAAACAAAACGCTATACACGAACGATTTAGAGTACAGGACTAGCTTCATGGGCTTCTGGAGGTGGGAAACGGCTGCTGCATTAATTTACTAACAAATTACTATGGGAGTTGATGTTCTTGGGCACCAAGCTAACCAGATCCAGGTGGCTCAAGGTATTTCGAGAAACACCCATATGAGCAGAAGCGCGATGAGACCACAGCGGAGCCAAATGCGACAACGCCACTGCAAGCTTTACTGAGGTGTATACAAGGACAGTTTGCAGTAGCCCGATAATTTTTGGTGAAAGACGTGAACAAGAGACGCGCTCCGAGCCGCTGCCTGGCGACTTGTATTAGGCAGCAACGACGTCGGTAGTTAATGCTGATTGGCGCACATGCCTCACGTTAACGATGACATCAAACACGTTCATTTTCTCGTCCAGCAGATGCAGGTCTAGAAGATCACTAGTTCACTAAGTCTATCAGGATGATATCATGAAGGGAGCTAGGTATAGTAAGTTTTCATGAAAAAAAATCACGTGATAAAGGTCCCGTGAAATTTGAATGTTCGTTCGTAAAGAGACGGTCACGTGATACCTTAAATCTAGGATGTAGTACGATCTATTTTCTAAACAATAAATTCTGCGCATGATTAAATTAGACTAGAGTTAGGCTATTGTAAGTAACATCTATGCAAGATTATTAGTCAAAGCAACCGCAATGATGCAACCGGCACTGACTAAATAAAGAAACAAAGAAGGAAAGAACAAAGCTTACCGTGAAAACGTACCTCACTGCTTACCAACCCCTCTCGCTAGCTGAGATAGTGAATCTACAACTGCGACTCCTTCGTCTTGTCCTCGTCCCCGCGAACAAGCGGCTTCTGGGTGAGCAAGTGCATCTGAAACTGCGACTCCTTCGCCTCCAGCTCATGCTCACGAGCACGCAGCTTCGACGCCAAATCTCGATGCTCTGAAACCCCACACTTGCCTTGCTTGATCGACTCCTTCATCGCATCCACCTCTGCACGATACTCACCAGCCACCTTCTCCCACCGCTTGGCAAGGGACGCCTGGTCAACATGATCCTTCTCAGTCTTCTCCATTTCATTTACAAACTGTTGAACGAGATGGAGAGGACCGTTAATGTTGATAGAGGAATTCGTAGAGATGGCGTGCTGGACGTATTGGAGCAAGGTCCAGTTGCGCTTCTCAGATGGCGTGATGTTGATGGTCACGGCCACGTTGGGAAGCGCGTCGGGTTCCTGAATAGACTGATCTGTAGGCGATGAGGTCGCAGAAGACTTGTCGGAGGCCGGAGTGTCAGCAGAGACATCCGGTGCGGTCGAGACGGCTTGCATGTCGGATTGGCAAAGGACATCATGATGGACGACTGTGGGTAAAACATCCGATCGAGGTGCCACAGGCTCTGTAGCAGAAACCTGCATGTCAGAGAATTGCAAAGCAGGCTGTTGAGCTGCCACAGGCTCTGTGGCAACGCCTGAGATCCCGGAGAAACGGAGCTGGGACATCTCCATCCGGATAGCACGCGCGACCATCTCGCCCTGGCCAGAAAGCAATTGGACAATGCGCTCCGAATCAACTTCGCGACGCTTCATCAACAACTTATTCATCTTGGCCAAATGACGCAAACCATCAGTCTCGGCCTCAGCCGCCTTCTGAGCATCCAGTGCACCAGCCAACTGCTCGAAAAGCGTGGATTCATATTCCTCACAACTCTGACTGTCATGCATGTTCTCACTTTGACTGCCATGCACGTTCTCCATACGGCTGATCTCCTTCTCGAGCTTTGCAATGCGGTCAGAGTCGGCCATAGAAGACTGCGCGGGCTTGAGGCGATGCAACTGTGACTGGTAAGGCTCAGCTGCGAACTTTCCGGTCAACTGACGAGGAAGGGAATAAGCAGCAGGAGTATGACATGTATTAGACCGTTCTTGTTCCCTCTCATTACGCTCCTTGTCAAGATGGTGCTTAATATCTGCATAACTCTCCTTTAGCTGTCTGATCTCGTCCTCCTTGGTGGCCAAAGCTTGTTGCAATGTGGCAATCTGAAGGTCGGTGTTCTTGTCACGCTTCTCTCGCTGCTTTGCCTCAAGCCGAAACTTATCTTGCATGGCACAGACTTCCTTGGAAGCCTGGTCGCGCACCCGCTGGACCGTATCGTCTTGAGCCTTGCACTCACGTCTAAGCTTGGAAAGCTCTCCAGCGTGGCGGTGGGCCTCGTCCTTAGCCTTCCCATGCTCGGATTGCCAGTGCTTGACCTCCTTGCCCAAGTCGGCGAGTTCGTTCTCAAGGTATGTAATCTCCGAGGCCTGCTTGGAGATACGGCGCTCTTGTTTCGAAATATTATGCAACATATCCTCTACGCTATCATCAGAACGAGAATGGTTGCGGCGAGACATTGTAGTAACTGTAACCTCCGGGGTTTGGCAATGTCTGCTCTATAGGGAGTATAGATAGAACCGATTTTATACTGCTCTTAGCATACATTGTGAAACTCACTGTTACATAACTATAGTTTTTCTTGTTACTTATTTGTTCATATACAGTGCATTTAATATTCCTCCAACATAACGCTGATTGACATTGACTTATGGTTCATTGTTCACACACAGCAGCCTGGAATTAAACTCACTGTAACCCCACATAGCGTATTACATCAACACAGTGCTTTTGGGGGGAAAGGATAGCCACATGCACCTGGGTAACAGGAATCATTTGACACGCAGTATAGAGGGGTTACTCTAGGCGTGTTCGGCGCCTATAGTATCAAGAATGATGAGAGTCAACCACGCTGCCGCTGTCATATATTCTATTGCACTTAGGTGATTCTGTTGAAGAAAGGTCATGCGCATCGAACGGAACCTTGGAAGACACGATGCCTTGGCTAGATTGCCACAACCTGTAGATTCATAGCAGTGGTGCTCGCTGCATCGTTGCATACACTAAATTACGGAATGACAGTTTATGCTGCCCGTTCAATAGTCCTAGTCTCGTTCTTCTCGTGCATAACGGTTCCCTCTGCACCATGGTTAACGGTCTTTTCGACAGCCCTGACAGCCTCGTCGGCGAGTTCCTTGTCCTCGAATACTGCCATGGTGTTAGCATACAATCGGGTCATAATACGGGAAGTTGAAACTTACAGAATGCCAACTCCTCGAGCGTGCGGTTGTACGTTTCAGGGTACATGAAGTAAACGAACGTGAATTCAAACGTGATCCAAGCGCAGTACACGGCGAAATACTTCCACTGGATGGCGTCGATGGCGATGGGATTGACGTAGACGGAGAAGAATCCTGCCAACTTTCCGAACAGCTGCTCGATACCAATACCCATGGTTCGCTGCGCGTATGGGAACAGTTCGACCAAGTAGGTGTAGGTAAGCGAGTTGTTGCCGATGTTGTAGCATGGCGAGTAGGCAAAGTAAAAGAAGAGCGACGCAATCTGCGCTGCCTTGTTGGTGGTCCCCTGGCTTTTGGCAAGCTGGAGACGTTGGAAACAGATTGTCATAGCCATGAAAACCATGGTCATGGAGCCAGCGGAAAGCATAAACATCCAGCGACGGCGGAATCGGGTAACCACAAGGGCGATGACAACAGCGTTCATGAGACTCCAGCAGGCGTTGGCAATGTTGATGCGTGTCTTGGCGTAGTTTGACGTATATCCCATCAATCCGAAGAGAAGATTCTGGTAGTAGGACAGCAGAGTGTTGCCACTCATTTGGGTAAAAAGACCAAGGAACACCGAGATGACAACACGGCGTCGCATTCCTGGAGTGCGGACCATGTCCATCCACGACTGTTTCGAGTTTTCCATTTCAAGTTTGATTGTCGATCGGATTTGGGCCATCTCTGCTTGCACGAGGATTGAGTCCGCATCGCCTTCAGCGTGGTACTTGGTTAGGACAGCAAAGGCCTCTTCCTCGCGATCCTTGCTGACCAACCAACGTGGACTTTCGGGTAACAGACTAATAAAGTTAGCATTTCGTCTCCAGTCTGGACAGGGAGCGCATACAAAACGGTGAAGATCTGCAGCAAAGAAGGGCAGATTTGGAGCAAAGAAGGAACTCGCCAGCCCCAGTTGCCTGTAATAGTAGTGGTGTGGATAGAGATGGCAGCCGCAACAATCGAACCGATAAAGTACGAGGCGTTAAACAGCGATGTCATGAACGGACGTTCCTTGGGGTAGGCCAGTTCTCCGATCAATGAGGATCCAGAGACAATCGCGAAAAGGATTCCGAAACCGAGCAGCATACGTGCAATGATGTACATGCCAACTGTGAAATTATTAGCGATGATAGCACGCAGCCGGAAGAATCTTGGGCTTACTGTGTTGAGCGAATCCCTGCATAAGAGCGCCAACAACCATGATGACAGAGCCGATAAAGACAGACATACGTCTTCCGTATTTTTGGCTCAACCATGGAGCGACTGGAACGGCGCAAATGGAACCCAGTTGGTAGCAAGACGACATGATGCCAATGATACTCGGTTTAATGGATGCTTTGCCATCCTTGTCCTTGTATCCTTCGCCGAAGACTGCGACCGTTAGAGACACATTGACAAGAGGCCTAGGTATGGATCTTACAGGTGTTGAACGGCGTTGAGAACTGGAGTGTGCCGATGAGCTGAGAGTCGAAGCCGGAGGTGATCTCGACGCCCATGCAGCAGCAAAAGAGCCAGATGTACATCAACCGCAGGTTTGGCTTATTCCACCACCGCACCTTGTCCTGCTCCACCATGCGGGTGATGATGGGGTCGGAAGTGCCATCTTGAGCTTTGAGGATAGCCATGATGGTGAAGTTGGAGCGATGAAGGCTGCTTGAGCTCAAGCGCAATTGGGGATTTTACCCTTTATAATACTGCACACCATAACGGCAGCGCGCTACCCCGGCTCATTACCCCAGATACTCCGCGACCTGACTAGGCTAAGGCGGAGAGACAGACCGTAATACCGAATTAGCATCTTATATTGGGTAAGCGTCTCGGCAGGTTTTCGGCATGCCTTGGCAGCCGGTTAAATAGGGCTCGTCCTCCAATGACCGGGTCGTGATGCACCGAGCGATGCTGAAAACGGGACGAACAAACGCCTGCATTCTGGCAAGCGCGCTGTTTTCGCTTCTCTTTATCCTGTTCACCGTCGAATGACCTGGTTTTCCATGTCGCACCGCGAAGTTGCAGCAACACAGCTGGCGTTGTGGCGTCTCGTACCCGTCGATACGGTCAGAATCTTGAACAGCGACCCGGACGTCTGGATTTCATCCGGTGTTGATTCGATAACGAACCTGGCCGAAGTTGCGTGAGGGTGGGGTATGAAGTGAAGGATTGGGGGTTAGTCAGACTTCGCCCTGCGAAGACCGGCATTCCGACCCAAAGGCCCATTGGACGAACCTGGTGCCAAGTGCAGAAAAACAATGTTGTTGCAATCTACATTGATACCCCAGACGATGCAACGGCGGCTTGCATATCCTGTACGGTAAACCCTCGTGACGCAGTTACCGGCGGTGCGACAGGCGTCCCGTGTATTGCAGCAACTGTGCCTCACGGTCTCGCCGTCACCTCGTATCGATCCATACCTAAGCCCGTAGCTTGACTTATAGGACCGTGCATTGAGATGGACAAAGCGCAGGGTTGCTCCGGCGCAAGCGACAACGTGGGTCACTGCCAGCACGAGCTAGCGGCTGCTGTAGTTCAAACATCCGACCGTCTCCGTAGTGGTTGCTCTATCAAACTCCAACGTGCGTCTGGAAAAGTCGGGACGGGATTATATAGCCAAGAAGTCCTTGCGCATGGGATTTGTGTAAGGCGTACTCGGCACATGAAGATGGAGCTTCGGAGTGATATCGAACGCATCCGTTATAGGTTCGGAGGTTGGGTCACGGCTGGCTAGAGGCACGCCTGGTATTGATTAACAAGCCCGTAGTCATGGTTTTGGCGTTTGCCCAAGCAAGCCGAAATATAAGGACAGCCGAAGGAGGTGAGGAAAAAGGATAAGTTTTGTTGCTGATTCAGAACGCAGCTTCTGTGATGGAAGGATGACTCGCATTAGGTAAGTAGCGCGGTGCATCCAGCGTCAAGCAGGAAGAGGAACAGCGACCTTTGAGGTTCGACGCATGTCGCCAATGCCATATGTCCACGATTCGTAGGATTGGAGTGAGGTCGTATGAAAGGGCTTGAAGTTAGATGAGCAGGGAGCACTGTTCATCATCAGTACCGCAGATGTCCGGAAAAGTGGAGTCTGTCCTGAAGTCGCTAGGTGATTAGCCATCCCAACCATCCCAACCACCCCAAAAGATGCCAGCGCATTTTCAGCGGAATATGATCCTTCAGCACCTGGTTTGCATTCAACTTTCTTGCCTGTATGCGTGCATGTGCAAGCCTCCCGCCTAGCATAGCGTACCGCCGTTACGGTACAAGGGCATTTTCCGGAAGACCCCCACTGATGTCGCCACAGCCAGCGTTGAGTCTTTATTTGTCTTTTCTTGGTCACAAAAATGTTCTTGTTCACGTATCTCTTCCTTTGTAGGTGTAGACCATGCTCTTAGACAACATCTCGATGACCATGTACTCCGCAACGATCCGTTTTTGGCTACTGTACTGATTTGGCTCTCCGACAGGATCAGCGTCAGTATATTTTCAGAGATTGGAGGTTGACTATACCCAGTCGCCCTGCCCGCTCTAAAACGATATGATTGCGGAGTCTTGTCATGTGATTACGTGTAGAAGCTGTCGCGTGACTGCATGAAACATGGATTATGCCGATGTAGCTTACCCTACCCGCCATCTAGCCCGGTAGACTCTATCGTTTCGTACAACTCGCAGAAGCTGATGATTACAGTCTTTCGTCAAAGCATTGTCAAGCTGTTGGTTTCGAGATCCGCGAGTGAAAGGGTATTTCTAGATGTTTGCCAGGGTATGCTGTGTGGGATCTTTGGATTTTCCAATTCCATTCCATGATGAAATCACAACGGATCTGCCTGGGACGATACGCCCGATAGCGAGATGTGGGAAAGCTTAGAGTGGTGCGGGAGCAAAAGCAGCGACGACGGTGAGTGGCGTGCATTTGGGCATACGGATGCGAAGGAAGGGGCAAAATCCAGTTGTAGGCTGCTGTCTTAACATCGGTATCGTGTTGATTGGTGGCAGAGAGGTCGAAAATGGAGGCGTTACGTTAGTTTGCGTGTCCGCGGCAGTGGTAGCCTGGGCGGCAGGCGTGATTACGTCAGCTACTCCAGACTTCAAATGTCAATCAAACAGTGCTTAATGATCATGAAAATATCGAAGCAGTCCATAAACCCGATATAAAACATCCTTTGCGCACTGCATCTTTTCAGTTGCCTTGAGGTTCATGCAAGTAGATCTTGTCCTTGTCGAGGGCAGCATCGCGCTCGATACAACACACCACTACGACCACCTGCGGGCCCTTCTATGTTATCTCCATCAGACCGAGGATGTCTGGCCGCCGGGTTTCACTTGGCTCGACAGTATGTGGCACTCGATCTATACGAAGCGACCAAGAAATTGCAGCATACGCTGCTCGTCGATAAACTTGCTGGACGCCTCTGTGCCTGCGCTTTTAGCCGTCAGCACAACGAGAGTCCATTACCGCACCCTTCTCCCGTCCCAAATCGCGTAGGGAACGCCCGGATAGTTGCAGTGGTTCAGCAGGCTGTCTTACAACACACTGCGCGGCGCGATAGCGACAGTAACACCGTTCAGCGAGAGGGATGCAGGAAGGTATGAGCAGCATATTCTTCCATGTGCGCGTATCAATCAGTGTCAGGATACATAGTTGTCCCCGCATCATTGTCCTGAGCCATTCCTTCCGCTTGTGCCGATACTCGGCGTCTGGGCGCTAGCTTGAGATCTGTTGTGACGAGAGTCGGCCAGCGCTTGAGCGACGGCTTCTCGTACTGCGCTATTATATCTACTCAGAGTCTAGGACACTTGTGGCCGTCCCTCCTAGACAGAAGCAAACTGGAATATCTAGTTTCGATCCATGCTGACCTAGCCGAACCCCAACCGCTCTTCCATGGGCCCACAAAGCTGTCCCCATCATTAAGGCTTTTTATCTCATCTACTCTGATTACATCAGGTAACCCTCTGACTGCTGTCCAGCTTTGTATCTATCGACTCATCCCACAGGGCTTGTGTAGAAAGAGCCTCCCCTCGTGCCTTTTCCTGCACAACTGGATGAATGGCTGCGCTCAAACTGCGAAGAGGCGTTCGCAATGAGCCGGTCGCAATGAGCCGAAGTATAAATGAAGCTTCTTTTTTTTCAGGTCTTCTGAAGTAGTGACTTGGTACTGCCCAGTAGCTCCGAAAGTACTCCAAAATGGCACTATCTGCACATGCGAGTAACTTTGTGCTAATCTAACAATGTCGATATTTGCACCAAATGACTATAGCGACCTGCTAACTTCGCAATCACAAAAGGGTTCATACATTGTAAGGTGCAAGAATCTGCTCGGCTGACATTCAATACTCGGACTTTTACGCGTATTGATTACGCGTGCGTAGTAGGGTTGTTCGAGATAGGAAATTGTGGGGGATAGTGGGTGCTGGAAGAATTGAAGGATTGAACTGAGGTGGTATTGTATGTATGTATGTATGTATGTATTGTTTAACGTCCTATGAAAGCCTCCCAGGGGGCATGAAAGACGGGTAGCGCCCTGTATGGTACTCAGGTGCTCCTATTCTTTGGGTGTTGGCAGTGTGTGCAGTCTGGTAGGGTAATTTCCGCCAGTTGAAAAGACTCTATCTAGGTTCCGGGCTGTGGGGCTGTGGATGTGTTGAGCAATGAAGCAGAGCTCTTATTCTGGGGCTAGTAGGCCTAGGGCGTTAGCGTTGAAGCTGGGGGAGGAGGTGTAGAGGTGGTAAATGAGCGAGGGACTGATGACATAGACATAAGCGGCTAAAGGCCGCCTAGTACTGTGTTTTGTAATGCCAAAACTGAAATTATCGCCGGCAGATTGTTGTGAAGTACTTGGTGAGCTCCAAGAGTGACTCGAAGTGTTCAGGCTCAGTGAGTAGAGCCTTGAGGTACCTGACGGCCTCTTTCATATTGCTTGGGGGGCTGGAGGGTCGGAGCGGCCATCTGCTAAAGGAGCGTCTTGTCTTTCTGCAGAAGAGCATGTGCTCAGGTGTTTTAAGTCGCCCGCAAGAACAATTCAATTCTGCTGTGTCGTGTCTGAATTTGTTGTGGTACCATGCAAAGTCCCCATGTCGTGACCGGATAGCCAGCAGATGCGCGAGAACAGGGCGTGGAAGCGTCAGTTCGATTGGTGTCTTTGTGGTTTGGTAGGGTAGTTCCCATTGCCGGTACCAGGCCGACATTTGGGTCCGAGTTTGGTCCCACCAGCGCTGCCTGGCAGCGTTGAGCAAGGACTTAGCGATTGAACGCACCCCAGATGCTGTCGGTTCCGCGGCCATGCCGTAAGGCTGGCTGGGTGCTTTTGCTTCGGCATCGGCAAGGCGGTCTGCTGCCTCATTCCCAATAATCCCGGTGTGGCCTGGCGACCAGCGTACTTGTATGTTGAAGACTGCCATTGCTGCCTGGCACTCAAGGAATGCCCATTGCGACGATGTGGGGGCGTTGCCCCGTATACCCCAGATAACTGACGTTGAGTCAATACACATCCATAGCCTGCGGTGGCCATGGGGGGCTAGTCTGATGGCGTGCTGGAGACCTCTCCAAGCACCCACTGCTTCGGCATCGAATACATGGGATTGGGGATTAAGCGATCCCCTCCCTATGGCAATCTGGGTCTGGGCCTGGTATATCGCGTAGCCG